AAGACGTACCACCTGGATTTGTGCACAGAGCAGAGTCAAGCACCCCAGGAGTCAAGTGCTGGCCACGCTGCGCATCCCCTGCTCACCCACTGGGCAGCAGGAGGTACACTGGCATTTCACAGCTCCCAGGACAAAGGCAACAGGGTGCACAGAGCCCCAGCCTGCAGCAGGCAGCCCACCTCATGCCCCTCCAGGTTTGTGCATGGGGCAATACCCCCTATGCCTCCCCTGGGAGGGCACACAGTGCCAGGGAGCTGCCTGCCCCACCCAGCACCTCTGGACCAGCCACCCACAGCTGAGTTGCATGACCTGCCCCAGCCCCAAGGGGCCATTCACCCCTGCCCCACTCCCTCCCTCCCTCCCTATGGAGGCCTCGACCTGCACCCCCATCCGCCTCTTCCCTTTCCCCCTGCCCTTGCCCCTCCACAGACTTACCAGATGAGCACTCACTACACATGCCAGATGAAAAGATCCCAAGATTTGAAGGTTCTATCCCGAGATCATGAGTTAATATGACTTGGAAATTGCAAGTCTCAAGTTTTTTTTCCACAAGAGTTGGCATTACTTGTTATACAAGCACAACTGTTTTGCTTTGTCCATTCTATGAAGCGCTCTACTTGGTTTATAAGGAGGAAATCTACCCTGCCTTCTGCCCATAAAATTTCTTGCCTTGACTTGTTAAAAGAAAAAACATCCAATTTCCTTCCTCTAAACCCAAGAGTTTGAGGTAAAAAGGGCTCAGTAGTAGCAAGAACTACTGCAGCCCTAGTGATTTACATTTTTTTCATCATTCTTTCCTGCACAGTACAGGATGAATGAGCTCTCGAGTCAATATCTATCCTCCTCAAAAACAAACTAAAACTATGCGTATTGTGGGTGTACCTTACTTTCATTACTTTAATCTGGTCCAAATACTTTCAGCTATTAGATATACCCTGGGAACTGATTTAAAGTGACCAAGTCTTCTACAAGCTACAACTAAACATTTCTGGAAGACTATACTTGTCGTTCATGTTAGGTCTGATTCTAACTGATCCCATAGTCCCTTTACACCAATCTGGCAGCATAATTTACATACTTTAAGGTCCTTTTACACTGCTAGAATAGTACAGAGGCACTTTGGTGGAGATGGGAATCCAGCCCTTTAACTTTGCCAAATGGGGATTTGATAAAGCACATAATTTAGACAATTAAAATAAAATAACTTTGGATATGTGGAAAACATTCGTCTCTTATTGGTTCCTTTGGTTTAAGAGACAGTAGGAAGGAGTTGCTGTTCTGATGCAATCCTATTGCTACATAACAGTTCAGGTTTCATCCTGGTGCACTCAGCCATTTTTTAATGAGTTTGGTTCATTAAAACACACATATGGTTAAGTGTCAGAAAGGACCCATTGGCAGACAAGGTTCCTTGGGTGAATCTGATGCAAATACATTTTTTTTTTTAAATTTAAAAATCCATCTGCATTTTTAAATCTTTTCAGACAAGTTAAAAATATTTTAGTGCAATGAAAAGCATTTAGGAGCTCAGTCCTTCATCCCTGAAGTCACAAGAATGTTTGGTTCTGTGCAAAGAGAACTAGGACCCTTGCCCTGCCCTACCACCATTTTATTTCCAGAGAAACCTTGATTTTCTTTTTTAATATTTTCCCCCATCAGCAGCAAGTTTTCCTCTACTGTGTAATACAGTGAACAACTTAACACTTTACAACGTTTTCTCTTACCCCAAGTCATAGGCCGGCCAGCTCTTGTACATATTTTTAAGGTTCAAATCTTGTCCAACTGTTTGAGACTTCACAACTGCACACATGTCGATGCGACTCTTCATGTGCTTAAGTTCTGGCAGTAGCCAGCTCTGAGGTTATAAACACAGAGCCCTGTTTGACGTGCATATGGGGCCCTGTGGGGCCTCTGGCTACTCCTGCAACTAATACTAAAAACAAACAAACAAACAAACAAACAAACAAACAAACAAACTCATAATACCTCACCTGCCCATCACCTACAGTTCCTGGGCTGCAAACATACTCCCAACCCTTCTTCCTCCATGCTCAATTTTGTTGTCACCAACTTCAGTGCCAAAACTGAATGGTCAGTTTTCTGGTTTAAATTATAAGCCTGCTATAATTCACATCAATTTAAATTCTCCTTCTTTAGAGGGGTGAAATACATCCGCAATATTTACCACTTGTTAAGTTTAGATGTAAGGACTAAATATAATGCACTTACTTTTTTTGTATTTGAAGTTTTCTTTGCACCTTGATCAGAAAGTGAGCCTTCATCAGGTGGCAGAGTCAAGCGCAATCTACACACACTGCCCTAGAATAGAAAAAAAGCTTGCTTTTATTTTTAGTAATGTTAAGGAAGGTCATTTTAATAATCTGCTCTATAAAACATGCACTAGCATCTGAGTTTTCATCCATCTCAAACAATGGGGAAATTATTTTCTAATGGCTGGGTTCTTTAGCTGACACACAACAAGTCAAGGACAATATTAAATACATGAAATACATTATTTGAAATTTTGGGTCTGTTCTTATAAATAGCAATCGTGAAAATAGTTTTCTTAACTTTCAACTATGTTTGCAGAGTTGGTACAAATTTGATCTTTAAAATGGGAGTCAACATAGAGAATATCAAATACATTCTCAAATGGATCCTGCTTTTTGTGTCCAGTCCATATCAATGCAGATCATTAGCAGCTGTAAGAAGACAACAGAAAATACGGCGAGTGAAGCTGATGGGGGAGACTTTGCCCTGGGTCCCCACTGAAAACCTGTTGCCCCTGGGTAATCCCACACTGTAGCAGGTAACACTGCCTGGCCTCCCACCCTTCTTCCCCTGCACTCGAGCACAACCTCTTCCCCACCTCCCCTCTGTGGCCATGATGCAGCAAGAACTAGCTATACTTCTGGAACAATGGTTCTCCAACAGGGTGCCACCAAATTCAGAAAAGTTATGGAGGGTTGAGAACCACTTTTATGAACTACCTCATTTCAGAGATGCATGAGCAGGCTACAGCCTACTTCATCAGATGTCACCTAAACAGGCTGTAGCCTATGAAAGCTCATGCATCTCTGAACAATTTAGTCTATAAGGTGCTAGCATGTCCTGCCCTCTGCCAAATAAATATTTGTTAGGGGCAAAAGCCTTGCTGAGATGAGGGAAGCAATGAAAATTAAACAGGTAAGGAAAAAAAAAAGGATAATGAGATAAATATAGTATTAATCAGACTGTGGGCTGATGAACTCTGAAGTCAAGGGGTGTGTTAGCCTTGTGTGTAGTTATTAACTTGTAAACAGGAAAAGCCTCCTTCTCCATTATAATAGGCAAAAGGAAGCATCTGGAATTCTTCTCTCATCTAAATTACAGACAGCACCTAATCACTGTTGAGTCAGTATACAGTCAAGTTTGAATTCATCATTAAAAAAAATATATTACTGGTTATAGTAAATTCTACTGGAAATTTTGAAATTAAAGCCTGTTTCCCTACTAAATTTTACTTCCTAGAATCACAGTCACTTATTACAGAATAAGATTTGATAACAAAGGCTAGTTAATGTATTTTGGCATTAACCAAAATACAGGCTTGGCAACTATAGCTCAAGAAAAAAAAGTATACTGAACTTCAGCCTCATTAGCTTTCATAGCTTTTCTTTGTACTATTTGTGTGGATTATAGTGTCTCAGTTTTCTAATGGGCTAGGACTCCCACTGTGCTAATCACAGCTATAAACACAGAACAAGAAGATAGTCCCTATCCCATACAGCTAACAATCCGAGACCAGAGATGGATACAGATGGGTTGCCTGTACTGATCACGATAGCAGTGTTTTCAGCGTACTTTGGCCCAACCACCACTGAGTTTTTTTGTAGGCATCATAACAAAGGAAAAGTTTAATGAAGGGATAATAGGGGGATAATAACGTAAGTAGCCTTGTGGATATTTTTAAAGGTTCTTCCATGCATGCAGGACAGCCGAAAAAGCACAAAAGTGCTTTTTTTTTTTTTTAAATGAAATGTTGAGGAAGGCATCATGCAAGTGGAAGTTGCATCTTGATAGTGAATGAAAGGCAAGTTAGCTTACATTTGATGACACAGAAAAGCATGAACCACTGATGGGATGGAAAGAGGGGTGACACAAAGTAATGGGCTAAGAGAATAATTCTGCACCATAATTCTGAATAGGTAAGAGGGCATTTATCAAGGCCAGAGAAAAGGACATTATAGTAGTCAAGATGTAAGATGGGATCCTTGGCAGAAGTGTTAGCTGTCTGCATGCATGCATAAAAAGGCTATAATCTAAAGATGTTCTGCTGCAAGAATTTGTAACATTTGGGTATTGCCTGGATGTAGAGAGGTCCAAGTCAAAGATAACAGCCAGGTTATAGGCCTGTGTGACAGGCAGCTTGGTGCTGCTGTTGACAGTAACCGGAAAAAGGATGTAGCTAGGAGCAGTTAAAGGAGAAAAGCTTGAAGATGCTCTGTTCTAGCCATGTTGATCTTGGGCTGACAGATACACATCTATAGGGAGATGTCAGAGTGACCAGTCCAGATTTCATTGTGCATTTCCTGAGAGCACATACCACAAGTTGAATTGTTAGCACTCTGTATTTAAACAGTGAGGCTTCAAGAGACCGAGGCCCTCTTATGAAAGGCACTGTACACCTACATAGTAAGAAACAGTTCTTACTATTTACTCCTCTATTTCAATCACAAAGAGCTTGTGATTGAAATAGAGGAGACAAAACGGGGAAAGAAAAGGAGCCTTAATCCCATTTCATCGATTAGGAAATGGCTTTTCTAATGTCTTATTAGAAGGACTGTTTATCTTGATTTTTGTTCAACAGTTTAGGGCCTACAAGTGTACCAACTTTTAGGTATATGATGACAGTAGTTCCAACAAATCCAGTGGAATTTTGGGGTCATAACAGCCTTAATGTGGTTGTAGCTGTGGAAGGGTTAACACAGTAGGCGTTGCTGGCTCTGGCTGAGCATCTCAGCCTCCATTCCAAGGCTCACACTCCAGCCAAGTGAAACTGCCCCCTGCGCCTCTGTTTCCAGGAGGAGATGCACCAGGCAGACTGGGAAGGGCTACAGCATGAGGGACACCTCCTGCAACTGCTTCCCAGTCTTCCCAACATATCCCCTCCTGGAAGCTGAGGCACAACAGACAAGTCTACCAGGCCACAGTAGAAATGTTGGTGACACAACACCCTTGAAAAGGCCTCATGGCACCCCAGTTGAGAACCACTGGTCTATAAGGCACCATGCTGCCCTGTTTTACCTACTTTTAGATCAACATATCTAACTACCTCTCACAAGCATTTGTTTGCAAGTGTGAACCGGAAAGGAGCAGTGGATGTTTTTCCGGTATAAGCAAACAAAAGACACAGACAGGGGGAGGTAGTTAGTTAATTACCTGGCAGGGGAAACACCATGTATCTGGGTCCATGTAAACATAAACTAAAATTTATGTCAGCTTCTATAAAGACAAAAGCCTTGCTGGACTCTGGGAAAGGAAGTGTATTTAGGGGATTGTACTGGGAGGCAATACGAGAAGCCAAATCTCACTCCCAACAGAAGCAGAATTCAACCAAAACTGATCTGCATCAAAGGAGCATTCAACTTTTTTTTTGAAACACAATCACTCTTCCTGGATTAGACTGCCACTGTTGCTTTTATTTTAAGTGTTCTCCTTGCTCTTTGGCAAGAGAATGAGACAGTCCTCAAAGACAGAATAAGAGCTATTCAGCAGAAAAGCCCAGTGTAGAGCAGGGGTCAAAGTATTGCCTGGGGGTTGTAGGCTTATGGCTGCCCACATCAAAACCAGAGCTAAGCAATGAGGAGCTACACAAGGGCTGAGCAATACCCACCGCTGCACCTTTTCTGCCATTGCTTCTTTCTTTTGTTTTGTTTTGTAATTTAAAAAAAAGTGTGAAGCAGCACCCTTCTTGCAGATTTCCTTCTCTACTTTCTGCCCAACCCACCTTTTTTGTTTTCTGCCTTTTATTCCCCTATACTTTCCACTCCTCCTACCTCCCTGCTTGGAGACCCCTCTGACACACAGAAGGAAGCTCCTATTTCCTTAGGCATGTTTGCAGCACAGTGCTGGTAGCTGCATAGCAAAACAAACTTTACTGTTTCAGTTCGCAGCTCGTAAGGCTGATAGAATAGTAAAGGCTGGATAGTTTTAGATTTCAAGTCTGATGAGAAGACTGGATCCTATCAAATTCTTTAAGGCCGTTAGGGCTCTACAGGCTAAGGCAAAACCAACTGACATGGCTGCACTTCTAAAATATCAATAGCCCCAATTAAATTAGCACCTACAGTGCCAATCCCACCAGGCCTGTGCATCCAAAGGAGAAATGCACATTTACAAACAGAGCCAGTTGCTCAGCCTTCTAGGGAATTCCCATTCTAAGGGTATGTCTCTCATAGGGCCTTCAAAGAAGCAGGTACTAATAGTCCTATAGGACAAACATGGACTCCCATAGTCTAACCTCCTTCGAGGTACTAGCCTCTAATGATGCAAAGCATAGCACCAATTCTCCCCTTTTACTTAGTATTTCCTCAGCTACACTAGTAGTAACAGCAACAGGAGTATAAATGGTCATTCACTCAGTCCCGCTACTTCCGAAGTGAAGTATTCCATGCTGAAGCAGGATTACAGGCATAATCCTTTGCTACTTTTTGGGATTGATTTAGAGAGAGAAGGGAAGAACAAGCAACACCAGTTTCCCTTGGTCTTCAGAAGCAGTAATGTGCTGCTGCTAGGGAAGCGTCGCTTTGCATAATTTGTCAATTTTATTGGCCAACCTTCAGACTGTGGAGATCTAGCCCTCAGCTGCAGAGGGGGTTGCAGCAACTGCAAAAAGGGAATCTCAAACAAAAAGGGGGGGGGGGGGGGGGGGGGGGGGGGGGGGGGGGGGAAAGATGCACCTAAGTATTGATTGATGGTAAGAGAATATGACAGCAGAGGATAAAGAGACAAACAATTGCCTGGTGTGAAAGAAGGGCTAATTACTCATTGGGGAGAGGGAAAGATCATTCCTTGAAGTTACAAGAGGAAGAGATTCATTTTAGGGTTTTTTTCCAACTACAGCTGCCAGTGGGAGGTAGTTAACCGAGTAGAAATCCAAGTGTCCTTCTAATCTCTCTTCATGTCATCAACATCATATTAAAATAAAACCGACTTATCCTGCTGTTAGTGAAGTTTTGATAGATCTAAGAGTTTGTTTTTTTGGTTTTTTTTTAAACCAAAGTAAAGAAGCAGCAGGGAATGTACTATAATGAAATAAACTTTTAAACTTTGCATTTGCAGTAGCTGTGGCTTTACCAAGTTACTTGCACAAGGAAGACTCTTCCAGTTTGGCCAATGTCTCCTATTGGCTCCATGAAAGTTACCAACCCACAAACAGTATTTCCAAAGCTGTATTTGGCATCATTTATAACACAGATGCATAAAGTAGACAGCAAAGTTTGCCAAATGCAATGAAAATGAACAGATGGAGACATGCTTACAGCTGACTTCTAAGACACTAACAGTGTAGCATAGGTTGTTGCAGTGCAACATTCTTTATTTCCCTACTTTTTAAAAGCAGATTTTTAGATTGCTTTAAAATAGTACAAGTAATTCTTACAAAGAAAAGCACCCATCTGGAATGAGTAGGGTCGGAAAGAAGGGCCAGAGCCTCAAACCATGAATGATTACTGTGACAATAATCCTTCAGCCTTTTTTCACAAAAGAAAGATGGGGGGGGCAAGCAAGCAAGTAATAAAACATATCCAATACCAGTAATAAGGCTAGAAGAACAAAATATTTTTGTTAGGAAAAATAAGTCATTTTTCTACTGATGAAATCCCATTTCAAGAAGTCTATGTTGCTCCTGGGTCACAGGCAGTAGGAACAATCAACTGCATCCTCATTGATTTTAGTGGGAACAGGACTGGACTGAAAACCACCCAGCTCACTCTGTTGTTTCAATAAATACCGAACGATACTTCAGATATTTAAATGGTTTGGGGATCAGGCTGTTAATTGGGTAATTCCATGCTGCTTGTGGTCTATTTGAGATTTTTGCTCAGTGACTGAATTTTCAAAAGGAAAAAAAAAAGCAAACCTACACAACACAACAACACACAGTGTCTAAGCGCCAGAAAATGATAACTTCCAAGGTGAGACAAAAGCAGCAGTATCCAATTTCAGGCAAAGCAAAAAGATTAATCTGGTGAGTATGAGACTACTGGCAGATAGTCCATGAAAGAAAACGTAATTAGAACCAGCACTAGATTCATCTTAAAGATAACATGATTAATGGACACTTTTTCTGTGATCCTTGGTAGATGGGAATGTGACACACATCTTTTGTTGGACCAATTTGTCATTTTAACTATTTTCAGCTAGGCTTAAGCACTCATATTTCACTACAGAAGAGAAAAGCACCACATGAAGAAAAGTTTTACTTGCAAATTAGGTCTGTTGTTTCCAAGAGAAAAGTTTATTAGAACCTGAGCTATAATCAGGCTACATAGTTTCACATCATCCCTGGAAGGCATGCTAAGGAGATAAAGTTAAAACAAAAAATATATATATTCTAAAGTAAGTTAATAAAATATTTTCAAGAAACATATTAAAAAGAGTAAAACTGATGAGAATGGGAAGGGCAGGAATTTTAGAGAACATAATCACTACAGTTTTCCTAGATTTTCCATTCTGATTAAAATAGCTCACCTGTGAGTCTAGACTCCCGAGTTCTTAAACACATAAATTAGCATATGACGGGATGTGACTTTACTAAAGTAATTGCAGCTGTGTCACTGGTTTTAATACCTGAAACAGGTGTAAACCCACACTTCTCACCAGTTTACTCTGATGATCCTAGATCCTTGTTGCCTTAGAGCGCTAATTATTCACTACTCTGATAACATGACAATCCTCCAATACTACTGCTTTGTAAAGACAAGCCTCTCATGTGATCCCTGCTGATGCATTAGCACTGCAGCACGCCAAGAATGCGCCCCTCACTGATAACTAAGCTATGTTGTCTCCTTGATGAAAAGTTATTTTAAGTAGGGTGGCAGTCAGGACATTCCTCTCGTATCTGTGCAAGGACACTTCAGAAGCGCTGCCAACCTGGTTCATACGTGGATGGCTACGAGGCATCGGCTCTTCCTTGCCAAAGGCTTCAAAACCACCCCATTTAAACGGAGGCCTGTTCCATTAAAAGGCGCTTTGTTTCCAAACGAACACCTACTCTCTGCAGCGGCGAAAGCCTCCTTTCAGCATCTTAAACCCAGTCCCCGTCCGAGCGGGAAAGTCCTTAAAAGTCCATCGTGG